ATAAGAGACATAGAGGCAGCTTTATCCAGTAATGCAAAAGTTTTGGTGCAAAACAGAAGTAAAGTCTGTACGTGATATTCAGGTCAACTGGTATAAATTAACATCCATTTCCTTCCAGGTGATAAGGGGAGAGAGGGAGCAGATGGTCTTACCAGGCAGCCCAGGGAGCAATGCAAGCAAATCCAGGGGAAAAAAAGGATTCAAAGGTGATCCTGGTCAGACTGGAGAAACAGGTATAAAAAATTAGAAATATGTGGAAAATCTGAAAATTAATTTGTGTGGTTATTCATTAGAAACCGTAATCCATAACTAACATCTACCCTAGCCAATCCTCGAACACCCTTATAAGCCACGATAACACGGTATACACACCAACCCCCCAGAAAGTCCTTATAGCCACCATAACACGGTACCACACACCAACCCCGGAAAGTCCTTATAGCCATGATAACACGGTATTAAACACCAAACCCCGGAACATCCTTATAGCCACGATAACACGGTATACACACCAACCCCCCAGAAAGTCCTTATAGCCACCATAACACGGTACCACACACCAACCCCGGAAAGTCCTTATAGCCATGATAACACGGTATTAAACACCAAACCCCGGAACACCCTTATAGCCACGATAACACGGTATACACACCAACCCCCCAGAAAGTCCTTATAGCCACCATAACACGGTACCACACACCACGGTACCACACACCAACCCCGGAAATCCCTTATAGCCACCATAACACGGTACCACACACCAACCCCCGGAAATCCCTTATAGCCACCGTAACACGGTAACACACACCAACCCCGGAAAGTCCTTATAGCCATGATAACACGGTAATAAACACCAACCCCCGGAAATCCCTTATAGCCACCATAACACGGTAACACACACTAGCCCCCCGGAAATTCCTTATAGCCACGATAACACACCAACCCCCAGAAAGTCCTTATAGCCACCATAACACGGTACCACACACCAACCCCGGAAAGTCCTTATATTCACCATAACACGGTAACACACACCAACCCCCCAAAATCCTTTATAGCCACCGTAACACGGTAACACACACCAACCCCGGAAATCCCTTATAGCCACCATAACATGGTAACACACACTAACCCCCCGGAAATTCCTTATAGCCATGATAACATGGTAACACACACTAACCCCCCGGAAAGTCCTTATAGCCACCGTAACACGGTAACACACACCAACCCCCGGAAAGTCCTTATATCCACCATAACACGGTAACACACACCAACCCCCGGAAAGCCCTTATATCCACCATAAGACAGTAATACACACTAACCACGGAAATCCCTTATGTCCACCATAACACGGTAATACACACCAATCCCCGGAAAGTCCATATATCCACCATAATACACG